TTCTTTTATTGACCTGATGGACATATTGGTTTTTTTTACATTTTTGCCTATTGTGAATAAGGTTGTTTTGATTATTCAGGGGAAGTTAATGTTTGAACAGTTATTTTGAAAGAAAGCAGTGGAAGAATAGATCAGATGATAATTCTATGTTTAGTTCATTGAGAAACTATCAAACTTTACCACAGTGACTCACCAATTTACATTCCCATTAGCAATGGACAGTGGTTTCTGTTTCTCCACATTCTTGATAATGCTTTAAATATAATGTTTCAATCTGCTTTTTAAAAATATGAGAAGAGTGTTTGGAGAACCTTCACGGTGGATGTGAAATTGAGTCTAGTTGTTATGATTTATATTTTCCATAATTTGACTGTATCATTTTATCTATTTTTTGAAAAAAATGCATATGCAAGTATTTAGTCCATTTCTAAATGGGAATATCCATCTTCTCTTTCTTTTCATTGCTGTTGTTACAATGATGAGTTCAGTTTGCATACTTAGCTGTGCCCTGGAGATTACACATTATTGTAGCACCAGGGATCTCAAAGACAGTTACCGTTTTTGCAATCAAACTCTTAGCGTCGTTCCTACTAGACACTTTGCCACTGAGATACATTTCTTTGCTATGAACTGGGTTGGTTTTATTTTTGCTGGTGAGTTGTAAGTGTTCCTTATGTATTATGAATACTAGATCCCTATTAAATATATAATTTGTAAATATTTTCTCATTATTTCCATTATCTTATCACTATCTTAATAGCATGGTTTGGTGCATGAAAGTTTTCAATTTTGATAAATATAAACTTTTCTTTGTTTCTTGTGATTTTGCCGTCATAGCTGAGAACCTCTATGAAGTTCATCGTCATTTGAAAACTCATTTTTTACTGTTTTTTCAGCCATATCTGTGCTCAGGACTTACTCCTGGCTCTATGCTCAGGAATTGCTCCAATGAGCTTGGGGGAACATATTGGGGTGCTGGAGATTGAACCTGGGTCAGATATGTGCAAAGAAAGCACCTTATATCTCTGGTCTCACGTTAAATGTTCTCTTCTAAGGCTTTTATAGTTTTATTTTTTATATCTTCCTTTTATCTATATTGGGGCTGGAGCAATAGCACAGCGGTAGGGCGTTTGCCTTGCACGCAGCCAACATGGCCGACCCGAGTTCGATTCCTCTGCCCCTCTCGGAGAGCCCGGCAAGCTACCGAGAGTATCTCGCCCGCATGGCAGAGCCTGGCAAGCTACCCATGACGTATTCCATATGCCAAACACAGTAACAACAAGTCTCACGATGGAGACGTTACTGGGCCCGCTCGAGCAAATCGATGAACAACGGGAGGACCATGACCATATCTATATTAGGCTAATTTTTGTATAAGGTATAAGATATAGGTTCAGATTCAGTCTTTTACTTGATTATATACATGTAAAATATTACATATATATATAAGTCCAGGTACGTAATTATAATTTGTTCATGCTATCTCATGTTACCTAAAAAATAAGAAAGTTTATATGATAACAATATGATTATATATGAGTATTACTTATTTTTCTTTTGTGTTATTAAAGATCTAGTCTATATTCAAAGCTGTAATTTTCTCCAAAAAACTTTAACAGTTATTCAGAAAATTAGTGCCATATAAACTGTATACAGTACACTTTCATTTTGCTTTTTTAGGTTTTAATTTTGCTTTTGTAAAGGTTTAAATTCTGCAGATATCTTTTCATTTTTCATCGTCTTAAAATGAAGCATATAAGCCTTTTTGCTCTTTGGAATTTTCTATTTTAAGCTTTGCTTATTGTATCTCTCTCATGTAATGTTTTTAGTGCTCTAAATTTTAGTCCTCTAAGTTTTCTGTAAATCTGAACTACAAGGTTAATGGGAGTCACGTGTTTATTTGTTTAAGGTAAAACTACTGCTTTGGTTATATAAATCATACAAGGCTGTTTCTTATTTTTAATGTTGACAACCAGTGGTGATCAGTACCCAAATCAATTAGCTCATTAGGGTTTACAAAACAGTAATATTCTATGAGTCAGAAAGAGAGGGACAGACATAGAAAGACTGCACTCATCTGGGGGAATATAAAGTAACAGAAGGGGAGTCAAACACCCAAGAATAGTTGAGATAAGTACCAGGAGGTCTGCTCCATGGCTTGGAAGCTGGCAGCACATGCTGGGGGAAAAGGCAGCTCAGATAGAGAAGGGAACACCAAGTAAAGGGTTTTTGGAGGACTCGCTCGGGATGTGAGATACATGCTGAAAGTACACTCACTATAGACCGAACACATTGCCACTCAGTACCTCTATTGCAAACCACAACACCCTAAAGGAAAGAGAAAGAAAAAGGGAATTCCCTGCCAGAGGTGGGACGGGGTGCAGGGGGATGGGGGGGGCAGTGGGAGGGCTACTGGGGTTATTGGTGGTGGAGAATGGGCACTGGTGGAGGGATGGGTACTTGATCATTGTATAACTGAAACCCAAGCATGAAAGTTTGTAAGTCTACAACTGTACCGCATGGTGTGTCACTAGTGAAAAATAAATAAATAAATAAAAGGAAACAAAACAGAACATGAATATACAAATTTGGGGAAAGACTTTAAAATTCACGAGGAAGATAATGTTTAAATTTGAAGAAAATCATAGCTAGGCACTTCATAGACAAATTACAAAAGGCAAAATAAAAATTTCTTATGGCAAACCTCTCATCAGAAATGAAGTAAATTGGGACTGGAGAGATAGCACAGCGGGTAGGGCGTTTGCCTTGCACGTGGCCGGCCCATGTTCGATTCCCAGCATCCCATAGGGTCCCCTGAGCACCGCCAGGAGTAACCCCTGTGCATCGCCAGGTGTGACCCAAAAAGCAAAAAAAAAAAAAAAAAAAAAGAAATGAAGTAAATTTCTTACTTAAAGTTATCATTGCAATAAACTTGAAAGACCGAAACAGTAACAACAAAAATAAAAACCAGTAATATTCTAAATGTATTCATACCTTTCCCTTTCCATTCTAGTCATATTCTTTAGATTGCATGCTTCCTTATAGAGAGAAACTTCAACTATTTTACTATTTGCTAGTGATTAAAAAAATGCCAAGAAATTAATTTTTATTTTTCTCTTCATTTACCAGTTCCCAAAACAAAAGTTAACTGGTTTTTTTTAACAGTGCCGTGAGGCCAAGAGATAGTACAGCACGTAGGGTGCGTGCCTAACATATGCCCGTTCCTGTTTTAATCCCAGTACTTTGTGCTCTCCATAACATCATGGAGTGCAGCTCGGAGGTCCCCAGACCACCATTTGGGTGCTCCCGATAACCCTCGGCACTGCAGGACCTGAGTAGCAGGAGAACCTCAGTCCGTGCATTGAACTGCTGGCCTGAGAAACCAGTGGAGCCCCAGTGCCTCCTGTTGTGGGCTAAGTTAAGTTTAAAATAAACAATGCCAACTATGATTTTTGTGATGGGGTATCTTCATTCATGCACTTAATTAGATATATTTAATATGCTTTGAGACATTGCAGTTATTGTTCATTTTGATATTCAGATGATCCCATCTCTAGTCCTGGAATCTTTCTGATATGTATCTTTGATAACTTTCTGGCCGTGAAGTATATTAAATTTGCAATTCTGATTAGGTCAGAATATAGCATATTGTGGCACACAAATTTCCTTACTAAAGCTCTTAATCTGTCTCTACGTCTATGTTTTCTCTGTTTTACTATCTTTGAAGAATTGTGAAGTGATACGTCAGAAGAGGCATTGGAAACTCTTTCAGGAAACTCATTTCATGCAATTTTTCTAAATTGAGAATATGTAAGAAAAGAATAGAACATACTTCTGACCTAAGAGAACATTACTTCCATAGTTGGGGTGGGTGCTGGTGTTTAAATTGACCTAGCGATGAGGTGCTAAAGTTTAAATTGAACATTTGCTTATAACTGACACCCCAGAGTAATTTCATTATGACTCCACTTCAATCTGATTGATGTCCAAAGACGAGTTGTTCTAAATTATTTTATCATAACTAACAAAAATATAAGTACCTAGTGATGTAACTTTTGTCTTTAACATTGGATGAAAAAGTGAAAAAATGTGGATGTGAATGAGTTTTTTAGAAACCAGAAAATAAACAGAAAAGCTGTTTGAATGTTGATGGCTTTTTTCTTTAGCTTCCTAACCTCCCTGTTAAGTAAAGAAGATGTTTTTTTCATTTTTTTGCCAGTTTTATAAGGTTGCTGAGTACTATAATGGGATTGTATTTATAGAGATCTTGTAACTTCTTGGATGAAAGGTGGTAATTTAGGTCTTATTGTTTATTGAATTTATCTGATGTGTCCAGTCTCATGGGGACATTTGCTGAAGTTAATTAAAAACAAACAGTCCTCATTCTGACAGCTTACAGTGACACTTACAAACCATCAGCACAAACAGTGTGCATTGTTCTAACTTGGACCTGCTTAGAGATGCATAACTAACACAGAGTGAAATCATTCAAATTTTGTAGGAAATATGAGTTCAGCTGCTGAATATTTAACACAGAAATATTCTCAACTATGTCCGAATCACCTAGATTCCTTCATTTAAAAATGCTTACAATATGTATATTTTCCTCATTTTACAACTACTTTTAAAGATTGGAAAGTTTAAAATCATATTTCTATCATTATTGGAAGAAGAAAATTTATGTTTGAGGGTGGGAGAGGAAAGGAAGAGAAAGCTTAGAAGTAATACTACGACAGTAGTGGAGGATGTAGGTACTTTGGTATAAATCAGGGCAGTAACTCTGTAAACTTAAAGCATAAATACAAACACTGTTCTAACTGTGTTCCTCAACCAGAATCACAAAAACGTTCATGATTTATAGACTGTTTCACAATGACTTTTTCCTCAGGAACAGCATTGTGAAACAGACAACCAGAATATCTTATGCTTTCTTAGCTCAGTCCAATGGCAGCTGTAAAGTCTAATGATGATGATGATGGCCTGTTTTCTTCCTTTGCCAGCTGGTGATGGAGTTTTGTGGCGCTGGTTCTGTCACTGACCTCATCAAGAACACGAAAGGGAACACTCTGAAGGAGGAGTGGATCGCATACATCTGCAGGGAGATCTTACGAGTAAGTGACCATACATGCTGTCTTGGGAAATTTTTGACTTTATTATAAATTGACACTGAAATTCATAAGCATATTGGAAATATTTTTAAAGCCTTATTCTAACAGTGATGATGTTTACTGCGCTGTGAGAACCATTTTGCTGAGGTCATGGACTATTATTTTAGGAGAATTAACCTTGAGTGATTTCCCTTACCAAGGGATTTGTGTTCATTGGACTTTCTAACTAGAAATCTGGTTTTAGATCATGGAGATGGTATTCTATAAGGAAAATGAATTGTTAAAGAGGTACTTGTTTTTTCCTTTTATGAAAATTAATAAATAGTTTAAGGATTCTGTGTTTAGCCATGCCAGTGCATGCAGATTTGTTGACTAATTTTACATTGTAAAAAAACTTATTTGAAATATTAAGTCAGTATTATCACTAAGTCAATAAGATGGCTGGACAAGACCATGCCTTTCCCCAAGATTTCCCCCCATAAATTCCATAATCAATTAATTTGGATAGCAGTGAACTTGCTATATTCAGTTTAGGGAGAAGGTAATGGATCACAGTATAGCTCGTTTAGACTACTTAAGTTGTCTCTTGCTATTAATATGGAGACTATTTATGTAAGCTAAATATTCTCTCTTGATTTACTTGTGTAGTTATTTATTTATAATTCTGCTTTCTTAAATAAGCGAACAGAAATTAGGACTGTACATGATATCCAAGATATGCCTTTGAGAGACAGATTATATGCTGAGGATTTGGTAGACTGAAAGACAAAAAAGATATGAAAATATATTTTAATTAAACATATTTTAATTAAATTATATTTTAATTAAAATATATTTAAATTAAATTAGGCAATACAAAAATGAAGAGTTTTGATGACTCAATTTTAATAGTAGCACTGTATCACTATCCTCCTGTCCACTGTAGCACTGTTCATCGATTTGCTCCAGCAGGCACCAGTAACATCTCCATTCTGAGACTTGTTGTTACTGTTTTTGGCATATCGAATATGTCACGGGGAGCTTGCCAGGCTTTGCCGTGTGGGCGGCATACTTTCGGTAGCTTGCCAGGTTCTCTGAGAGGGGCGGAGGAATCGAACCTGGGTGGCCATGTGCAAGGCAAACGCCCTACCCGCTGTGCTATGGCTCCAGCCCATTTTAACAGAATATAAAACAAATACTTAGAAATAAACTTAAAGGCTTCCTCTTCAAACCCATCTTCTCCCTTGAACACAAATCTTGCTTCCTTGTCTCTATGTTTCTTTGCTTGCTTATTTTCATTCTGGGTTACCCTGTGTTCTCTCTGGAACACATATTCCCATCTAATATCTTTCTAAGCAAATTTCATTCAATAAAAACTACTTTGCTTCACAAAAAAAAGAGAAATTTACAGAAATACAGTGTCTACACAGAAAACTAGAATATTACTGTGTGAAGTTAATGACAACCGTAACTCTGGATGGCATATACTATTTCACAGATTAGAACATTAATATCATAAAGGTGTTATTTATCCGTGGTTTTATTCATGATTTTACTGGATCATGAATATGATTCCTATCAAAATCACTCTAGATTAATTGTGAATATTGATAATTTGAGTTCTGAAGTATTATTTGGAAATAATTATTGGCAAAAGGCCAAAATTAGCCAAGGTAATCTTAAAGAACAAATACATAAGGTTTATGCTACAAGCTATTGGGATTTTTAAACTGTTAAATAATTAAAACAGAGTGATATTGTAACAAGAGTAGATAAATGCTCAAAGAAAGAGAATATAAATTCTAGTACAGATCCATTTTATGCAGGCCTTGGTTTGCGATCATTGATATGCTGTGGTTGTGTAGGGGAACAGGATCATATCAGTAGATAATGCTTGAGAAATTAAATGGCAGTATGAGAACATGAAGTTTAGCGATTGCTTTATACCATGCTTAAAAAATTATTTGAGTCGATTATAGATAGAAATGTGAAAAACAGGAAAATCTACACTCTTCCAAGAAGTTAATAAGACAATTCCTCCAAGGCTTTTATAAAGTAGTCAAAAATAATCTTTGTCTATTTTTTAAAAATTGTTCTTAGTTCTGTGGATTAAACCTAGAGACTCATACAGGCAAGGCATGGGCCTACCTGCTGAGTCATATTCCCAGCCCACAAAGTTTTCTCAAACTGCAAGCAGAACATTTCAGGGATAAACATGGAGATATGTTTATCTCAGACATAACATTTATCTTCTTGTATTAGTATTCCATGGTGTAAGCTGAGTTTTAATTTCTTACTGAGATTGTTACTGGAGCAATAGCACAGTGGGTAAGGCGTTTGCCTTGCATGTGGTTGACCCAGGTCCGATTCCTCCATCCCTCTCAGAGAGCCCTGCAAGCTACCAAGAGTAACCCGCCCACACGGCAGAACCTGGCAAGTTCCCCGTGGCATATTTGATATGCCAAAAACAGTAACAAGTCTCACAATGGAGACGTTACTGGTGCCCGCTTGAGCAAATCAAATGGATGAACAACAGGAGGACAGTGCTACAGGACAGTGCTACTGAGACTGTTACACACTTCCATGACTGTGTAGCCTTTCAGACCACCTTGTGATTTCCAGGAAACTCTCAGGCCTCCAGGCAGTTCTATCCATTCTGTCCTTCTATATGCTGAGAGGATTGATTTTATCATCTTATTGTTTAAGAGAGAACAGAAGGGAATGCCCTGCCACAGAGGCAGGGTGGGATGGGGAGATGAGGGCTGGGAGGGATACTGGGATTAGTGGTGGTGGAGAATGGGCACTGGTGGAGGGATGAGTACTCGATCATTATATAACTGAAAACCAAGCACAAATATTTGTAAGTCTACAACTGGACCTCATGGTGTTTCACTAATAAAAATTTTTTTTAAAAAAAGAATTTTCTGGACACTGAAAAATCCAAGTATATGTTAAATAAAGCATGGATGAACAAAAAAAAAAATCCATAAAAAAAAGCAGCAGAGCTGTTTCACTGAACCCTAAGGACTTTTTTGTAGTTGGTTTCATAAACATAAAAATATGGTATTCCTTGCTCTTTCAATATATTCCCTTGAGGAATAATGATGAGGTGATTCATTGGAGGAGACACTTGTTCGGCAAGATTGCTGGCCATGGAAGTTTCAAAGATCTTGGTCAGTGTTATTAAATACAACCTTTGGCTTGTTCCTGTGTTTTTTCTTTAATCTGCTTTCAATCTCTTTGTTCGTAAAGGAGAGAAAGGGATCTTCAAACTGTCTTTGAGGAATTTATCAGATGTTTATAGGCTGTTAAAACAGTATATTTTGATCAGATATTTCCTTTGACTTCAACTGACTAGACACCAGATACGACAGGTAATTTTTTTAAAGACTGAAAAACAAACAAACACTGACCTCCCGTTGTTCATCGATTTCCTTGAGCGGGCACCAGTAATGTCTCCGTTTTGAGACTTGTTATTACTGTGTTTGGCATATCGAATATGTCATGGGTAGCTTGCCACGCTTTGCCTTGCGGGCAAGATATTCTCGGTAGCTTGCTGGGCTCTCCAAGAGTGGGGAGGAATCGAACCCGGCTCAGCTGGGCTGGCTGCGCGTAAGGCAAACGCCCTATGCGCTGTGTTATCACTCCAGCCCAAGACTGAAAAACGTACCTTAAAATATTCCTTTATGCGGTTTACTTTGGTTGATACTCTTAAACCTTACCCAGTGACCTTTGGGGGCATTAGAATTCACATACTGAATTTTTTCTACATGGAAATTTAGGTACTGTTTCATTTCTTTATGTGTCAACATAATATTTTGTACCATAGTTTTGTTGTAGAGAAAAATTAAAATTTCACAAAATCTTAAGTAACAAAATGTTAATTCATGAGTATACAAATCCTTGAATTAGCAAGTGTAGCATAACATGGGGCTGGAACGATAGCACAGAGGGTAGGGCGTTTGCCCTGTTTGCAGCAGAACTGGGTTCATTTCCTCCGCCCCTCTCAGAAAACCTGGCAAGCTACCGACAGTATCTCGCCCGCACGGCAAAGCCTGGAAAGCTACCCATGACGTATTCAATATGCTAAAAGTAGTAACAAGTCTCACAATTTGTTGTGAGACATTACTGGTGCCCGCTTGAGCAAATCAATGAACAACGGAAGGACAGTGCTACAGTGCTACAGTATAATATGATTTGCTTCAAGACTCTTGTATTTATCTTGGAAACATTACTACCTTAAAGTCTGTAGGTTTTATGACTCACCCCATAAAGAAGCCAAACGCAGAGAAATTTATGGAGATATGGACCATCATCAATTATATATGCCATCAAATGATTATTTTATATAATCAGTCCCAAATCACAACCATAAAGTATTAAAAATGTTACGGAGAAAGGCATAAATAGAAAATTGGAACGTTTTGTTTTTGTTTTAATGTAAGCCACAATGAGATAGCACAGTGGGTAGGGTGTTTGCCTTGCACGAGACTGACCAGGCCGACCCGGGTTCAAATCCTACTCCCCTCTTGGAGAGCCCGGCAAGCTACCGAGAGTATCTCTCGCCCACACAGCAAAGCCTGGCAAGTTCCCCGTGCCATATTTGATATGCCAAACACAGTAACAACAAGTCTCACAATTTGTTGTGAGACGTTACTGGTGCCCGCTCGAGCAAATCGATGAACAACGGGAAGACAATGCTATAGTGCTATAGTCTAAGAAATATTTTTATTAGTAAAAGTTGTACAATAGAGAGTCATTCTGAATTTAAATTTAACTAATGTTCCCAAAAATGCAGGATTTGGTTAAATCGGCTTTCTATGAGGAGGCTCAGCAGATGTTTCCTTTACAAAGTAATAAAAATCTCAATTTTTAATAGTACTGTTAACCAAAACATGTACATGTTGAAATTATCTCATCTCAGTTTGACTCTGGGGTGCCTAATCAAAGCTGATGTGCATGGGTTCTTTTAATCGGCGTTGTGTTTTACAAGGGCCACCTGTTTATATCAGTTTACATCCATCAGTTACTGCAGTTTAGTAGAGCACTGTGAGCTCATGAAAGATGTGACTATAATCATGAAAGTATCTCTTGGTGAGTTGAGATTTTTTTTTGGATCATTAACATCCAAGATAGTTTATTTCTATCTTGGCTGATATTCCTATTAACACATCTCACCTCTCCATCATCCAGGGTCTGAGTCACCTGCACCAGCATAAAGTGATTCATCGAGATATTAAAGGGCAAAATGTCTTGCTGACGGAAAATGCTGAAGTTAAGCTGGGTAAGAACAAACTCAGTGGGCCTACAAGTAGCAGGAATTGATGAGATTATTTCAGAAAGTTACATTGGTTTGCTGCTTGTTTTGTAAGGATTTTTTTTCACTGTGAACGTGGAGGTCGTTGTGGTCAAAATGGAATGGAAGATGTTTCTGTTTCAAAATATTTTTGAAAAAGGCTTTGGGGAGTGAATTAGTATACACTTGGTAAATTCCTGTGCTAAGTTAATGTGTAGAACTATGTACTTTTTTAAAAGCAAAGATCCTTTAGATTATGTACTAAATGATTACCTATGGCCTATCATTTGTTTACCTTTTTATAACAATGGCAGTACAGTGATAACTCATTTTTGATTAAAAAAATCCAGATATAAATATTTCTAATAATGGATTCTCATAGTATTTTCATGTTTTGCATTACTTTTGTTTATATTTTATTACATGTAATGCAAACATATAATAATATTATTACTGTACAGTTCTGCAAAAGGGATATTCTACCTGTTTCCCACTTCCATCTGCCATAGATATCAGGAAAATAAATATTTTCTCTGGCTGTCAGTTGAGCCCTTCCCACAGTAAATCTGGGGATCTTCAGATAAGGTAGAGATGCCTAAAGCCATTTGCCTGCTTAGTAAATATAATTAAGAGCATGAATTGACAAATATTCTAAAGGATACACAGCTTAAGCCTAATATATATTATTAGTTATTTTCAGATAGATTTAAATATTTTCCATGTTTACATCCCAGAGATTTGTTGTTTTTTTTTGTTGTTGTTGTTAAAGATATACGATGTTAGGGCTGGAGCCATAGCACAGCAGGTAGGGAGGGCGTTTGCCTTGCACACAGCCAACATGGCCGACACAGGTTCGATTCCCAGCATCCCATATGGTCCCCTGAGCACCGCCAGGAGCAATTTCTGAGTGCATGAGCCAGGAGTAACCCCTGGGCATCGCCGGGTGTTACTGGCATCGCCCAAAAAAGAAAAAAAAAAGATATATGATGTTAGTTGTTCATGGTTATTATATGGTACCAGAATTTTATCTCATGAAAATTTTATTTTAAGACAAAAGCAGTATAGGGAAAGAAGTTTAATATTAAATGTCTGGGTAAGCTATCTTCAGAATATTCATCATCAGTAATGAAAATTACTTAGAGAATATTCTATTCCAGGTCCTGTGCAAGATACTTGCATAGATGATCTCATTTTAACATTAGAGCAATTCTATGAAACTCTGATGTTTTATTACATGGATTAGGAAATAGAAGTGAAAAGTGATTAACTACCTCCCCTAATTCATTTCTAATATGTGGAATAATGGGATGCGAACAGGCAATCTGACTCCTTTAATTTATTTCGCAATAATTTTCTTTGTAAAACTTCATACTAAGCTTTAACACAACCAAGCTTGCTTAGTACTTAACACTTGTTTCTGGTCCTTGCTGAGTCTTGGGGTAACTAAATATTCAATGTAATTACTCACTGGTGTACTTTATTCATTTATACATCCAATTAAAGTTCTCATTCACACAAAAAAGTAGATAAATGGACAAACAAAATGTATACTTCTAAATAGCCTTAAAAAAGGAAATTGCGATTTGGTAACAAGACCATTTTCCTGTTAATAGAAAGGAAATAGGAGTCACAAAAGCATCCTCATAGGTTCTAAGTCGCTTGAGTATAGAACTATTCTCTATTCATCTGCATATGTCCCTAGCATCTTTATTTAATAAATCCTTGAACATCTTTTTAAAGAAGTATTGACATGGGTTGAAACACAGATAAAGATATTATGTTAAATGAAAGAAATCAGTCACAAAAAAAAGACAAATTCTGCAGGATTTCACCTACTCCTGTTTTTAGTAATCAAATTTATAGAAAAAGAAAGTTGAGGAGGGAAATAGAACAGCAGAGAAGGCACTATGTGGCCAACCCTGGTTCAATTTCCAGCACCCCATATATTCTCCTGAGTACCACCAGGTTTGATCCCTAAGCGTAGAGCAAGGAGTAAACCCTAAGAACCACCATATGTGCCCACTCCACCAAAAAACAAAAGTCAGTTCCCTGGGGCTTGTGGATACTCTAGAAAAGAAAGATACTTGTTTTAATGGGTGCAGAATTTTAATCAGGGAAGATGAAAATGTTCTGGAGTTGTATGGATGGTGGAAATGGCTTCAAACCCATGTGATTATATATAATACAGATATCTATACCTAAAATGATAAAATGACAGATTTTAATTAATATACATTTTACCACAATAAAAATACATATTCATTTCACCAGCATATGAAGATCATAGATTGTATGCACTTGTGTTCTCTTGAATAGTGGACTTTGGTGTCAGTGCTCAGCTTGATCGAACAGTGGGCAGGAGAAATACTTTCATTGGAACACCCTATTGGATGGCCCCGGAAGTGATTGCCTGTGACGAAAACCCAGATGCCACATATGATTTCAAGGTATGACTTCTTCCATCTTCACATGTTTTAAAATCATGCATAACATCTCACCCTGAATCTTGCAATGGTAAAATTATTTTGGGATCCTTTGGGATTAATATTTATGTGATCTAACGAGAGAAATGTAAAACACTATTTAAATTTAAAATGACAAGACATTCAAGAAAAAGTTTTTTTAATGAATTCCCCCATCTTGTTGATTGCCTATTTGTAAAAATCTCTAAACTTTATTTTATGTTCCCTTGAATTTACTCTATTAGACAATAGATTTCTACCCTGGTTATAATTTACAGTTTTAGAAAAGTATATATCTTGAGAGCTTTTATATTAAAAGAAATTTGCATATGAATTTGTTGCCTTAAGTCACCTTTTTCTGATTTAAAAATAATCACACTTACTCATTTCTACATTGCTCATAATATAATTATTAGGGTTTCTTTTCAATGAGAGGCAACCAAATGGAATGTGGGTAGCTATGACATTGTTTCTATGCAACTTTTATGATATTTCAAAGAAATTTGACTTGAGGCCTGTTTCTTTGTATTAAGCAGAAAATTTTCTAGTAAGTTCAAACCAAGGTTTAAATAGGGGATGAAATTTCTCATTTACCCCAAGAAGTCCTCCTCTTTCTGTTTTTCTCAGCAGAATCAAACTTAAGTTAGGTACAAACCTATCCACAGCTGCAATTTCAGGCAACACTGTATGTCAGGAATTGAAGTGTGGTAGAGGACAGAGACGAATTTAGAAATGAAAGGGAAGTAGGATTTGAGAGTTTTCAGATTGCATAGTGGATCTCATTCCTACTTTGGACAAACTGGCAGGCTACAGAATGTAACCTGCCCACACGGCAGAGTCTGGCGAACTCCCTGTGGCGTACCCAATATTCCAAATACCAGTAACAATGATGGGTCTCATTCTCCTAACTCTGAAAGAGCCTTGAATATGGCACTTTTTAAAAAAAAATCTCAGGGCTAGACGAAGGAGACATTACTGGGGCCTGCTCGAGGCAATCGACGAATAGTGGATGGAATCAATGATGTATGTTCATAAAGGTTGTGTAACAGACTTGTGCAAAATCTGGCATACCTAAGGCTGATTTTATAAATACATGGGATTTTTACCAAAGGAATTTGGTGGTCATCTGGAAATACCCTATCTCTCAGAGGAAGAGATTGAGAGTTAAGACCTTTTTGGTAAATTCCCAGTTAGGGATGTTCATGGCTGGGGTTGAACCCAGGCCCCCTACCTCTCTGTTCCCAATATATTGCCTTCTGTGGTCTGCCCCTTTGTAAATCTCCAGTTCACCAAAGAAACAACCCCTGAAGAAGAAACTTATTTAAAGAATTCCTCTATTAAAGAGCATTTTTAGTTCTCCACATATGGGTTATTATTGAAATTAGGTCACGAAAACACAAATGCTAAAATGTCTTCAGAAGCCTGTGTCTCAGGGCAGTGACAAATTATTTGCCTCTTTGGAGAAACACAAGACTTGAAACCGAAAACAAAATAATCTCTTGTAAATTTCCTTCCTCTTTCAAAGTTAGTCACTGGAATAAACTGACAACAATCTGTTTGAAAATAGCTGACAGGTTAAAAGTTAATCTCTTGCCAAAATAAAATGTCATTTATTTAAACGGCTAATGATAAGCACATTTAAATAATTTGATTTTCAAATCCCTTCAGAGGAGCTACTATCAAATGTATGTCCCAGTCCAGATATGTGTATCATAATAGTCTCATAAACAATTTTTTAGATGATCGCTATAGTTAGCAAGTGCTAGCTTGTTACATCTGGACTCAGATATTTCATTCTACCATGGAGAAAAAAGTTTGATTCTTAGTTTAGCTTTTCAAGTTTTTATTTTACTGACTATAGTATATATGAACTTTTATTTTGTGACATAAAATAGATTCCTATGATTTAGTTGTTTCTCATAGAGAAATGGAAGCTTAGTCTTACTGACAAACCAAAACTTGGAGCAAAACCGATACACTGATTCTCTTTCCTCAAATCATACCTAAATCACATGGTTTGAGCCCAATGGGTAATTCTAGGTGCGGATGAAGTCTGGAGTTTTAGGAAGCTCAGGAGGCTTCATACAACATTAGGTGAATCAGCAACACTATAATCTCCATATTACTGTTCTGATATCCCAAGACTTCATAAACTGAAGATTAATTTCTGTGTTTTCCATTAAGAAATGAAGACTTCTATAGCCAGAGAGAGAGTACAATGGGCAAGATGATCATCTGGCATGTGACTAACCTAGGTTCAATCCCTGGCACCTGGTATACAGTCCCCTGAGCACATAGCCAGAAGTAAACCTTGAACACTGCTGGTTGTCACCCAAATATTTTTTGAAGACTGAAAGGGAGAAATGAAGATTCTGATGAGAAAACAGACCCATGTGTATCTGTTCTGTAGTCTTTGGTGCAAAGTTGTTTATCAGGTTTGTATAACTTAACTTGTACAAGAGGAGGAAGAAACTTTGACAAGAAGGTGAGTTTTACTGGTCACTTGCCAAGGGTGAACCAAAGACCTTGATAGGGAGAAATAAGGAGAACCTGGCAGAAAGGAACATTTGGAGATGTCTCAAAGATTTTTTTACCCCAACACTCTTTTGCTGTGGACCATTGAAGTGATTCTATATAAACTTTCTCCTTCTGGGTTGGTACCAGATCATATCTTTTGTTTTGTTCCTGATTCTTTCAAATATGGTCTGTCACCAGGAGACAGACACCTGACGGTACCTTGACTTTCAAACACATTCATTCATCACTCAGCACCTATTTATTAAATTGCCACCATCTATAAAGAATACACCAAGGAATATTTGGATATGCAGTCTGATTTCATTGGGTTTTTGTTTTCTTGGGTCTCCCAAGTGGTGCTCTGTATAAAATCTTTGAGGGTGGCCAGGGGGAGGCCCCAGTGACTCTTCCCCTAGCCACCTGAGTTCGGGGTGAGCCCGGGCTACTCCCCCAGGTGGGGCGACCCCGGCTCTGGGGCAGACGGCTAAGGAAGCAAGGGCCAAGCAGGTTGATTTATCAGTTGCTGGTTGATTGATCAGTTGCCATTTATTCCATTCTCTCCACGTGCCTGCTCCTGTATTCTACATTCTTCTCTCTGTCCCACTTACTAGGCTCTCCATGGTCCATCATGCTGTCCTGCTTTCTCTCTTCAGCTCTTTTCTCTCTCCAACTCCCCTTCACCCTGGGCCCACACTGCACCCAGTCAGGTAGCCATATCAACATAAGAAAGCCCTTCCTGAGGGCCCACCAGGTTCAAAGGATTACCTGAGAGGTATTCCAAAACCCTTCCTGATTGCCCCAGGCAAAACACCTCCTAAGGTGTTTTTCTCTTTTCCTCATTCAATAACTATCAAAGTCTTAATATTAGTTATTTTTGTATGGACACAGTAAGAGCTACCATTGAGACTTGTAGGGCAGCTCTCTTGGGAACATCTTGCCACAGACTCAGACTACAGAGCTCAGGCCAGATTAATCATTCCTAACCCTAGCAGTTATCCTACAGTGCTCAAGAGGCCCGGGCCCCACGGATGATTCCCAGTCAATAACACAGGTAGTTCGATGGAAGGGCCTGAGGATGCCACGCTGCCCGGGACCTGAGGTGTCAGGGTTACCCTACTTATCTAAATGGCTTTGGGGTTCTCCAGAAATGCACCTGGTGATGCTCAGGAGAACTTGTGGTGCTAAGAATCAAACTTGGATCAGACATAGTAGTCATGGGCCCTAACCACCATACTATCTCTGGGCCCTGACTAGGCAGCAACGTTTCATGCTTGAAATTTACTTGGAACCCCATCAAAGTTCAAAAAATTGGTACTATGTGTGTTGTAGTCCAATTGGCCCAATTCTATAGCCATTCAGCTCAATTCTATATATAAGCCCCAGAAACTGGTGTGAATACTTTAGCGTCTCATGAGTGGTAGATGTTTTTACCTTTGAGGACATGTCTAAAATAAAAGATGATGTTTTTCGAATACCACCACAAAATAAAAAATCTTTCTTTCAAATAAAAGTTGTTAGGACGTGGATTGAAATCTCCGTTTAACAACAAAAAGACTCCTGAGACTGCAAACAGCAAGCAGGGTTTATTGTAAGACTGGCTAGCCAGGGTCGAGTTGCCTACATGGACATGCAAGTCCAGCAGGTCCAAGACCCCGAGCTTCTCCAAAGGAGATCTTATATAGGCCTTCACCAGCCATTACAGCAGAGCCTGCGCATTTAATAGCCAATAGATTTGTAATAACACATACTTTCCTAACCAATGCATTTGAAAGTACATCACTCCTTAGCCTATTTTTTAAAGATCAGCATTTGTGTCAGTGCTTAGGAACGTCCTGTTTTTTTTTTAATTATTTAAATTTTTAATAGTGAGATATCATGAGGTACAGTTGCAGTCCTACACAAGGAACCTCCTGTTTTTTAGGGCAGTCCTGGGCCTTGTGAGAGACATCGAGTTATCTGGTCTGACTCCCACTCTTCTCGTGACTTGCAACTTGGGGCACCTCTATCCAAGTTCGTTGCTCAGGGGCAGAAAAACAAGTTATTTTGCATTGCGGGTTCCTGTAAAGAGGATCTGAAAAGGCTATATAGACCTGTTCCTCACATTTTTAATCTAGGAAAGACAAGTTGGTCAGCGTTCATTTTGTTCAGGGCCACAAAAGTGAAATGCAGTCGACTGGGAGCAATAGTACAGCGGGTAGGGCATTTGCCTTGCATGCAGCCGACCCGAGTTCGATTCCCAGCATCCCATATGGTCCCCCCCAGCACCACCAGGAGTAACTCCCGAGTTCAAAGCCAGGAGTAACCCCCTGTGTATCGCCAAGTGTGACCCAAAAAGCGGAAAAAAAAAAAGTGAAGTGCAATAACTAAGAAAGACCATAGTGTTATCTTACCATCTGATTTGCTAATGATTATTTATGATTTGTCAGTGATGTCTGAAACACTGTAGGAAATTGATCTAAAAATGACAG